ACAAACCAACACTGTGGTGAGATGATGGAGGAGACTTTGAAAAGAAACCCTGAACATGTCAGAGAGGTTAGAGGTAATAATTAGCCGGGATGGTTAAAGCGTTCTATGAGTTAAAGCTGATCCAACAGTTTGAAGCACCTCTGCTCCTCATCTGCTGTTAATCTTCCCTTTGATTCTTTAATCTTTTATTTTTGTCGTGCCACAGCTAGCCTTTCACATCCTGATTAACAGCAAATTAATCAGTGATTATATTGTATTTGATTTACACTTGAATTTGATCAGAAACAATTTACATTTGACATAAGAACAATTGCATTGTTTTATTTCAAGTGCATTTTATCTAATATCTTGTTTAAGAGTAAAAATATTGATTCCATTAGCAGATCATCTTATTTACCTGCTCACATTAAGGATAAATACCCCTAATTTAAGACATTTTTTACTTATTTCTAGATGGTTTAACAGTTATTCTGTGTTAAAAAGAAGCAGGAAGTGGTTTTGAGTTCCCTTCATTATAAAAGGCTGCATGGAAAACTTCAGGAATGTTCCATAAAAATAAAATAAAATCCTCCACATTAAAGGCACGTTATGGCAAACAGCTCTGAGGAAGATTGAACCTGTGGATGATATTTATGGGGCTGGATAATCTTCGTTTGGATGCAGTAATCAGCTAAAGCTTCATCACAAATTATATCTGGGCTGGCAGGATTAATTAATCACTGAAGAAAACAGATTAAAACTATAATAATGTGATGACAAAATGTATTATGAAATACTACAATATAAATGCTCTATTAAAGAATATAAAAGTACCCTAAAACGAGCAGATTTTGATCAGATTTTACCATAAAAATATATTTCAATGATGAATAACTACATGAAATTTATCTCATATTATTTTAAAATGGATTTTATTACTTTACCTGCATAAATTAATATAAAGTGATGCAATTATGTGAGGGTTTTTTTTGCATCGTTTTTTTGAGGGTCACAAGCTGAAAGGTTTGGAACCCGTTTAAAATAACGGTGAAAAGATTAAACACAGAAACGCAAAATCTCTGAAAAACTTAAGAGGATTTTCTCCAAACACAAAATCCCAGAACATTTCAAACCAAACAGACTCAGATTTCAGCGATAGAGTTAATTCCCCCCCACCATCATCGCAATCCCTGTATAGCAGAGGGGAGGACCTCGCTCGTTCAGCCAGACCAACAATTCCCTCTAACGACCTCCTTTTCAGAGACATAGACAGGTATGGGGCATTGCAGGCTAACAAAGGGGGGGACCCGTTCATCCGTTTCTATTTGCATGTTTTCTAAACATAAACCAGGCTTTGTTGGGCTGCTGGATAAAACCTGGAACTAAACGCTATTTCTGACATTTTTATTTGAAAAAGTTTCCTGGATGGAAGAGAAACGTCTTCAAACTTGGAAACAAAGTCCAGAGGATTGATTTTAACTTTTTAGGAACCCGTTTTAAACGACAGCATTAAGTCTAGACCAGGCAGACGGAGGGGACAGAAGTCACAACATCGAGTAAGGAATCTTTTAATGCAACGACAAAAACCTCAGATCGGACTTAAGCTGGTCACTGAAAGCTCTAGATTACAAACTAGAATGACAAGTTGTGTGGAGGACAGGAGAAGGAACAAACAGGTCAAATGGCTGGAATGTTCCAACCTGGCCAAAGTTGGAACATTCCACAGCCGCAGACGATGGAGGCCAGAATGAACCAGCTGGAGAAGGCGTCTGAGGACTGACGGGTCCATGCAGCTTCAGGTCCAGGTCTTTATGGCTGAAAAACCTTCATCTGAAGCTTTGACCCGACCAGCTTCAGAAGGTCCCCAGATGATTAGATAACAGATCCATCAGATGCTACCAGTCAGGACATTCAACAGGAAGCTGCTGTTCCAGGTTCTGATCAGTTTTTAGAGAGAACATCTACAGGAAACCTTCATCTGAACATGAAGGTAAGAACTGAGTGAAAAGCTAAACCCTGAGCAGAGAAAGCTCTGGAATCAATGAGCCGACCTGCTGATGTTCCTTTAATCCGTGGGAACAATGGAGGCAGCGTCACTCTGAGCTTTATTCATCAACCTGAGCCGCAGCACTGCTGGGATTACAGCGCTCAGCTGAACGACGCGCAGACGCCGATGGTTCGACCTGCGGAGACACTTTACCCTCAGCGTCGCATCCCCTCAGCGGGGGCCGGTCCTCAGGGGCCAACTGTGGAGCCGTCTGAAGCAGCGTGTCACAGAGCAGCTTCAGAGCCAAATGCTGCAGGCTACAGGACCCCCCCACCCACCCCCATACACACACGTCAGTGCAGACTGCCCCCACACACAGTCACCCTGTGAGTCATCGTAAATTTACATTCAGCTTCTGTTTCAGCAGGAGGAGGTTCAGTCAGTTCTTCTTCTGGCTGTTAATGTTCCAATGGGGGGGGGGTTTGGACATTATCCGTTAATTTCTGTGTCTTTCAGGCTTTCTTTGCGAGCAGAACTTCAGGTATCTCCCTCTAAAACTTTAAAAACGTTAACCAGCCATCAGTCAGATAAAGTCGCCTATTTTTTCTTAAAATAATTGTTTTTTCTTGAATTGAGGAGGTAAGTGAGACACTTTGCCAATGGAACGAGACAATTTACATTTAAAATAAGAAAAAAAACAATTTCATTGTCTTATTTCAAGTGTATATTATCTAATTACCTTATTTTAAGAGAAACAATTCTTATTCCATTGGCAAATCATCTTATCAACCTACTCAAATCAAAGGTAAATACACTTAATTTAAGACATTTTGGCTTATTTCTACATCGTTTTTGCAGTGTAGCGATAAACCGATGGTTTAAAGTTGGATTATTTCCTGTCTAATGCTACGTTCAGCAGCAGAAGCAGCTAGTTTAAATGGAATGTCAAAGGTTGACGAGCATCCAGGCGCAGCAGAAGGTCCTGCAGCGTCTAGAGCAGCAGGAGCAGCAGGAGCAGCAGGAGCAGCGCATCATGAGCATCTGAGCATCAAGCTTCAGGAGCAGCAGCTGCTGGAGTTGGAAAAAATTAACTTTAGCTGCTGGACGCGCCGCATCGACCAATGAGAGAAGCTGATCTGGGAGCTGGCAGGGAGTCAGACGCAGCACTGCTGATGCAGAGCGCTATGATCACTCCTCTGAAACAGTTTATTAACGCCTAAATTAACTTAAAATGTAGAAACCTGCCGGCAGAATATGTTGGCTTTTATTATCCTGAAAAACGCCTTCCAGCCGCCGCTGCAAACCCCCAAGAGGCGAGCGGGCCTGAGGCAGCTGCTGCTGGGGATTCCCAGTGACAGCGCAGCGCCGAAAGAAAGGATAGGGTAGCTCCGCCCAACATGCATCAGACCCACTTTACCACCGCGCAGCTAGAGCAGCAGAGATGCTTCAGCCGCGCTTCAGAACTAAACTCGTAGAAGCATCAAAAATGAAGCAGGACGCGCGTTTCTGCTGCTCCTGCTGCTTCAGTCTGAACGTAGCAGAACTGATCCGATGTGCTGCAGGTTCTTTGGGACGATTCTGGTGGCTTTTTCCTGCTCGGTTTACATGAAAAAAAAACAATAAACTTTCTCAGCTAAGCATGAGGGTCAGCTGACCTGAAGGAGAGGCTGCTGATTGGATGAAGGATTCGGTGAATCTATGCAGGCAACAATAATAAATAAATAAAGTATCAACCGGTTGACGGAGCTGCTGGTAAAGCCATAATCGGCACCTGCTTGTCCCAGAAACAGGGCCTTAATAACTGGTTAATTAAGCTTTTGGATAAAACTGAAACAATTAATCAGATTAATCGATTATTGAAATAATCATCAACTAATAAAGTAATTGTTTAATTGTTAAGTGGAGTATAGAGACTGTAAAATACGTCTTCAGCTGACAGAGTGACCCACTTAGAGCAGGAATTATTCCAACATCGTAAAAAATGATGTCAACATTTTGCATTTAAGATTAAAAAATGTTTTCTTCTGTCAATATTCCAGCCTGAGAGCAGCAGGCGGTCTGATTTGTTCAACTGGATTGAAATTTTATGAAATGAAAGAATCTATTTTTATGAAATGCATTTCCTAAATCTCCTTCATCCATCAGCTTTCTGTAGATCCGCTGCGCTGATCCGGAGGAGGAGGCTGTGGTACTGATGATGGACGGGTCCAGTTCCTAGAACTGTTTTTTTGATCCAGATGAGGGTAGTTTTATGACCCTGTCTTCTGTGACTGTAAATGTTTTATTTGTATTGTAATTTTGTGAAGACCTTTGTGACCTCTACGTCTGTGAAAGGTGCTATATAAATCCTTTTCTTCACGCCCACTGCTCATTTATCTGCGTCCAGTTCAAAGCCCAACCAGCCAATCAGGCGGCTGCAATTACAGCCTGGGAGCCCAGGCTGCTCCACCTGCTGCTCCATCTTCATCAGAGCAGCACCTCCTCAGCATCTCTGTCCCTAAAAGTGTCCAAAGGTCAGAGCATCAGGGGCCCCACGCTGACCGGGCCCCCACTGAAGCATTTCCACGCCTCTGGGTTCTGATAGAACCAGAATAATTAGATCAGATTACAGAACCGTTCCTCTGCCAACCAACCACCTGAGGAGGAGAACACAGACCAGCATTTCTCCTCCCACTGGGGCCCAAATTGGCCCCCAGGATCCAGTCTGAAAGAGGGGGGGCTCACATGTCTGAAGCCTCTATCATCATCATCATCATCATCATCATCATCAGGGTTGGTTCGGTTGACTCTGGTGTTTCAGAACCGATCAAACATCTCAGGATCGGTTTCCTCCTCAGGTTCAGATGCTCCACACATTCCTGATAACTTTAACATTTTATCCACATTTCTACAACAAAACACGTTTTTCTATTTATCATTTCTGAACGAGGCTTTTTAATTATTAAAACAAATCAAACTTCATAATGTTTCCAGACTCTCAGCTACAGCAGGGGTCCCGGACCGAACCGGACTGAACCGGACCGAAGCGGCTCACCTTGTAGACATTCTCCGTGATTCGGTGTACTTCGTCGGTCCGAGACATTCTGCGTGGAGCGTCAGTGGGAGTGGGGGGGTCCACGGTCCTCTTCAGAGCTGCTAGTGATGGAGGGAAACACGACACGAGCGCGTCTGTCCGTGGGATCCCGGCTTTTATAGGACAGTCCTCCGCTGCGCCCACGCGGATCCCCACCCAGCCAATCAGCGGCCAGGCAGCAGCGCAGAGGCGGAGTCCCTGGCGCTGCCTTCATGGACCGCTGGGAAAAAGGAACACTAAGGATGATGAGGAGGGAGACACGATTCAGAGGACGTTTCAAACCCGGTTATTCTGATTTAACTGAATTATTTAATCTTTTGTGGAAGTTGGGATCAGAAGGACACATTTTGAGTTTCGTTTCACAACAATAATAAACAGACTACATCTTCAATCAAATCAAATAGGGTCAGCACCCCCCTCCTTGGACATCTTATGCTAAATATTCACTGTGCAATATTCTTCTCTCTCCCTGTGCAATAACTCAGGCCAACTACTGTGTAGCCTGTGTAATTTTTACTTATTTATAAGGTCAGTCCATCTCTGCAGTCCAAGTGCAATAATCCAGTCTTCCCTTATCTCTCTCTGCTGTGCAGATATTTTTATATCTAAAGGAAACATATTTCAGGACATTACACTTTTTATGCTTTTTTTGTCCTAAATGCACTCTTTTTATATTGTCTGTTGTATTTTTATCTTTAATGGCATCTTGCTTTAACTCTTTGTGCTTTATTTAAGCAACTGGAACCAGAATTTCTGTGAAGAAGTAATCCCAATGAATACATAAAGTTGAGTCTAAGTTTAAGTTTAAATATATGAATTATTATTTTATTTTAAAATCTATATTTTAAAATGAATTACTGTTTTATTTGCTCGACACGGCTTTTAAATAAATTCTAATTCCGATTATTTACTCAACAGGAAAATGTTTTCTGTTAAAGGACTTTTCTAAAGCTTGTATTTCATGTAGAGAAATCTGGCTTTCAAACTAATTTCAGCTGCATTTAAAATAAAAAATGTTAGGATTATTCTTATTATTGATGTGTGAGTCTATTAAACCCTAATAATACCTGCCTGTTGCGTGTCTGAACTGAGGTTTTCCAGAGCAGTTTATCTTTATCTGCTTTCTGCGACTCTAAGCAACCTCTTTATTCTGGTTAAGATCATCATTTCAGTAAAAATCTGTTGTCATGTCTCCTGGTTATTTAATAAATTGACATTATGAAGTGTTATTTAAAAAGTTTGTCCAGAGTGAAAAGAACCAGAGAGACAGCTTCAGGTTGTAGACACAGCTTTCCTTAAAAATAACAAGGAAATGGTTTATTTTATTATCAGAGCTGAATATTAAAATCAAAAATAAAAGCTGATGTTTGTTAGTTTGTTTTGTCGCTGCTAAATAAAAAACACCCTTTCATACAAGGTCATTTAGTTTATACCTTTGTAGTTAACGCAGCTCATTAGGTGGAGATTCTGAATCATAATTCTATTATTATTATTTCAGAAAACTTTTTAAGAGCAGTGGAATGACGGAACTCCAGCGTCTGAAGTTGTGTTCCACTGAAGCCCAGCTTCAGGCCGCCAGAACCAGTTCACCGTGGAAATAATCACTGCAGCGTCCTCTGATGTTCCTTCATGTGTTTCTGCAGTCAGATCCTGGTTCTGGTTCGGTCCTTCGAATCAGGATGGATGCTCCACACCACAGCAGGGGAGATGATTCTCCTCCAGAGTTTTTAAAAATTTCTTTTAACTTGCTCACATTTTATCGCCTGCTAAATGTGTGTGGCTCACTGCTGAGTGGGAACCAGTGGATATGAGTGGGATGGAGCCACTTTGCCATTTCTGGTGAGTGGAGGGAATCCCACACATCTCAGCTCCTCACGATCTGCAGCTCTTTGAATGAGGCTCTTGTTTTGGGCGACGTTGAGATAAGACAGACGATGTGAGGCTGCTGGAGAAGGTTGAATAATAAAGCGGTTACACAGAAACACACTCGTTTCGTTCCGATTGTCACATCAGATGGTTCCAGTCGCCTGCAGACTGTTAGTGAAAATCAATGAGGCGTCTTTGGTCTCAGCTGGAGCAACAGAAACATTCCCACTGTCAGCGGGACAATCCATTAACTCCACTGTCAGGATTCAATCCCAGCAATTAGCTCCTAATCGGCTGAAAACATACATCCATGTTTCTGTCTGAGCGGAAAGCGCGATCATGTCGAAACGAGTATCTGGATTCAGAGACAATTGACAA